ACTTTCGACCACAGTCGAAAATCGAATGCAACTCATAATAGGGGCCTGATGTTAGAGCTGCCAGAAAACAGTGAAACGATCAAAGTTACCATTTTATTGAAATTAAAGCCCTGTTCCAGGTACTTCACGATTTGCAAGTTTTACAGCGATTTACAGGAAATGCTGTTTTCGCCATTAATAAACCTTATGCAAGATGACGACCGGGAAGGACTTCCTGTAAAAACCCGCAAATCGTGAAGCGCCTGGAGCAAACTTTTAATAGGCTTGAAAACTTCACTGTACATTCAGCGGAAAGTTATAACCCTAAAATCCTCACACGCGTTCAGAGAAAATTCCAGTAGCACTGAAAGCTTCACTTTTTGTTCAGTAAAGTTTTCAGGCATTGATTGCTGAACTGAGTTTCATGGAGTTCGTGATGTATTCTGGAAAGATTTTCGTACTTTTCGTACTGAATATTGCAGTGAATTTGCAGGCCGTTGCCTCAAATACTGTTGGGTTGGCACGAACTGCTTTGTGAGATTATTTCCAACGCCATTTCACATATTAGTTTAATTTGATTCCAAAAGATGACATGTAATCGAAGGGTATGTCATGTCATCAATATATGTATACTTATAAAAACGGATATTTACTTTTTAGGTACATATCACACGTTTGATAACACATATATAGATGTGACTCAAGATTTACGTTTTTGGAGATTTCATTATGCAATTAATAAGCTTGATAAGTATAATATGTTCAGTCTAGCAGATAACCAAACTTTAAAAATAGGTACAATTTTAAAATTTAATTTTCCATACCTATAATGAGCATCTCTTCATTTTGCATGTATGTACTACAATTTCCAGAAATACCCATTTGCAAGGACACCTCGGCAGTCCTTGAATGTTCTAGATTTTAGTGCCCAGAACTTGAACAACGTTTACCTAAATTATCTGTACATACATACATATATGTATGGATGTATTTTGTATGAATATGTACATATATATGCGCATACTCTCCTGAGAACTAGGTCATTTAAACCGCTGCAAAAATTGAGAAAATTCCTATATATATCTGCATACATTGTAGATATACAAATCTACACACACATAAATGCTAACATACATATACTGGCTCTCTAATTACCCTGCAGTGAAACCCCAAACTAGTCAGGGAAAATACTAGTCTACAATTAGAATTTCCTGACTGAAACCGAACTAGTTCGAAAATGGCCAGACATGTACCCTGTTTTATTTGACATCGACAGTTTAATACAATAAGGTATACGAAATATTATAACTTTTATTTGGGTATATTGTAAACCGTTAAAGCGACTCGTACGTACTAGCAATTACACCATACCTGTTAAATGATGATTAATATTCATAATGATTATTAATTAAAGCATTTTTTTTTTGATGACCGTTTAATGATTAAATGCCGATATTAGCACCTTTTTAATGATTAATAATTAATTGCTTTGACATTTTTTTTAATTAATTCGTTAATTTTAATTACATAATTTTGTTACTTTTTATAATTTTCAATTATTTTTGACTTTTTTTAATTACACGATTAATATAATTATTAGATTAGTTTCAATTATTAATCAACAAGCCAAAGTATAGACAAAAATTAAGAATATTTAATAACTGCTCTCATCCAAATCTCAAATTTTAAACATTAATTATTACTTTTAAAAAAAATAATAAAGGAAGGACTGAAATGTGCAAAGTTAATGAATTTAATTTATTTTAATGAACATTTTTTGTTTTCATTTTAGCCCACTCAAAAATTAACTAAAGTATTCGTTTTATTTTTAACTAAAATGTTCTCTTTTCCATATTCAATGTTATTAAAAAAAATACTTTTAATATTATTTAATGGAAAATGCATTTAAATTTAGGGGGACGGACAACCCAATGTTCAAAATATCAGTTGATTGGATGAAAAAAAGATAGTTGGCTGACTAGTTGGGCATGCGGTTCATACTAGCTGTGAGGGAGTTTACAACTAGTACATTTGACTACAGGGTAAATCCAAGGCATTCATATACACATGTGCACAACAACATTGTTATATCAATATATATTTATTTCTCTTGATTCTCGCTCTTCATAAGCCGGGTGTATGCACAGTACACTCTTAAATCTGAAGCCCCGCCTCCATTGAGAACACTCTTCTTTATATGTTTGTAAAAATGTTAAGTGGACTTGGTATAGACTCCTCTCTCAGGTCATCTCGCTACTCATTTTATATTTATGTACAAAAGGGTGAGCATAATAAATATATATATATATTTAGTTAATAAATCTGCCCAGCTAGTAGACTGCTGTAGAAATTTCGAGAAAGAGAATCGGGAACATTCGACGAAGAGTGAATTTAGTATAAATACCGGCCGTGCGCGCTCTTCGCTTCAGAATTGAATAAACAAGCAAGCTATAAACAACTCATAAAGAGATTGTAACAAACAGTCAAACAAACGCGAAAGTGTATTTAACACAAAATCATAAAGTTATAGAAGAATTTTCAAAAGTATTAAACAGTTTAAACAAGTACATACAAGAATAAGCAAAAAATAAGTCAAAATGGTAGCAATTGGTATTGATTTGGGAACAACATACTCCTGTGTGGGAGTTTTCCAGCATGGCAAAGTGGAGATAATCGCCAATGACCAGGGCAACCGCACAACACCCAGCTATGTGGCGTTCACCGACTCTGAGCGCCTCATCGGCGATGCAGCAAAGAACCAGGTTGCCATGAATCCAAAGAACACAGTATTCGATGCCAAGCGATTGATTGGACGCAAGTATGACGACCCCAAGATCATGGAAGACATCAAACACTGGCCATTCAAAGTGGTGAGTGATGGAGGCAAGCCGAAAATTTGCGTCGAATATAAAGGGGAGAACAAACGCTTTGCGCCAGAAGAAATCAGTTCCATGGTGCTCACCAAAATGAAGGAGACAGCCGAGGCATACCTGGGCACAACTGTCACAGACGCAGTCATCACAGTTCCCGCATACTTCAATGATTCACAGAGGCAAGCGACGAAGGATGCCGGTCGAATTGCTGGTTTGAATGTGCTGAGAATCATCAACGAACCCACTGCAGCCG